AAGTTGTTTTCGTGGGCGTGGCCTTTCTGTTGATAGGGGGCGTGGTTACGCCTGGACGATCACAGCAACGCCTTCCCACGGGAAGATAAACAAAGCGCCATCGATTCACTTTAACGTTAAATTTATTGTGGTTTTCCTGTGTTGATCAAAATTGGCTTACACGGAGAAGGTTCTGAAAATCAAACGACAAAAAATAAAACTCGTCTCAAAATCGGAGAAATTCAGGACCGCTGGTTCAACTACGTTCTGACCCACCATAACAGAGCCAGTACCTGGTCATAAGGTACACTGCAGTTCATTAATATATGAAACAATACGGACACTACACCGAGTTATATTCATTTAATAAACAACCTGGACACAAAATTACATACAGTAGACCGTAAAATCATAATGGTGTCTATATACGCAGCGCACCGGTTTAATCAACGCCCTGCCTATGATTAACGTTCGTCACCGCAAAAACATTCAATACAGATGATTCAAGAAGACGGTAGGAGTTCATATCGACCGCTATCCCTCTAAACAGAGACACAGAACAACAAAAATTAAGCTATTTGCAGGTTTAAAAAACAAACAAACAAAAGTCTGATTAACATGGAAACAAAATATGCAAAAACAACACTTCCGACTGGGGCGTCGCTGTGTGCTTAATTAGTACAAATAATTTATTCAACTTTACTTTAATGCTGTTTACAGCAATTCAGTGGCTAAATCCTATTACATAACCCCTCAGTCCACTCCTTAAACGGCCGCCTGTGTGCGTTAGCAGGGTAACCTGTCAACAGGGAGGCGTGTGAGGCGCTTTTGTCTGGCACGCGCTGTTTTCTGTGTTTATGCGTGTCTGAAGGCGCTGAACTGTTACCGCAAACAGATGACACTCACCGGCGGCGAAATGGAGTGGGGTGGACTTTCTACCCGCTGTGTCCCTGCTGTTCACGTTGGCGGCGTTAAGTAGCTTCTTGACCCGCTCCAGGTCTCCGCTCCTGCAGGCCTCGAACAGCTCCCTGCTCGGCTCTCCGCCTGGGGCTCTCTCCATGGCGGCGGCGGCACCCAGGCCGGAGATACTGGGCGAGCGGCGGGCACACATCCACTCACTCCTGTTCCCTTTTAACCCTGTTTGTGCGGGCTATAGTCTGAAGCCTTGGCATCGAAGAGGCGAACCGAGGGATTTGGAGGTATAGTGTGTAACAGACGTTAGCTACCTTCTTTCGTGGAGCCTCATCCTAAAGCCGAGTCGACTAGCTCGCCTCGCTAACGACTGGAGTCGCTCCCCTTCACTGTTTAGCTGAGCGCCCTGTGGTAAAACTCCCTCAGGCTGGGTGTAACAGTCATCTGGTCAAGCACACGCACAATAAAACATACTGGAAAATCTCCATATGGGACGTTAATGTGATTTCAAGGAACGACTGAAGCAAGCCATCCTCCTCCCCTACCTCTTGTCTTCTATTCCCTTTCTCCTCCACACAGCTTCAAAAGTGCTGGGCTGAACACTGGAAGGCCTGCTGATTGCTGCCACCTACTGTGTCCAATATTTTTCTCAGTTTTTATATTATTAGTAGTTACAGAACAGTTATGGGGTTAATTTTGTGCCTAATGGTGAAAATAAAATATGAAAATTTACAAGCAAAGCACAAAGCACTGAAATGTAAACAATATGCACTGGGCTGCACTGGATTTCCAGTATGAAGGGCTTAAAATGTGTAAATACGCCAATCAGGCGTAACATTATGACCACCTCCTTGTTTCTACGCTCATTGTCCATTTTATCAGCTCCACTTACTATATAGGTGCACTTTGTAGTTCTACAATTACAGACTGTAGTCTATCTGTTTCTCTGCATACTTTGTTAGCCCCCTTTTACCCTGTTCTTCAGTGGTCAGGACCCCCATGGATCCTCACAGAGCAGGTACTTTGGATAGTGCAATCTTTCTCAGCACTGCAGTGACACTGATGTGGTGGTGGTGTGTTAGTGTGTGTTGTGCTGGTACGAGTGGATCAGACACAGCAGTGCTGCTGGAGTTTTTAAACACTGTGTCCACTCACTGTCCACTCTATTAGACACTCCTACCTTGTCAGTCCATCTTGTAGACGTAAAGTGAGAGACGATAGCTCATCTGCTGCTGCACAGTTTGTGTTGGTCATCCTCTAGTCCTTCATCAGTGGTCACAGGACGCTGCCCACAGGACACTGTTGGCTGGATATTTTTGGTTGGTGGACTATTCTCAGTCCAGCAGTGACACTGAGGTGTTTAAAAACTCCAGCAGCACTGCTGTGCCTGATCCACTCACACCACTAACATACCACCACCAGGTCAGTGTTACTGCAGTGCTGAGAACGATCCAGCACCCAAATAGTACCTGCTCTGTGAAGGTCATGGGGGTCCTGACCACTGAAAAACAGGGTAAATGGGGGCTAACAAAGTATGCAGAGAAACTGATGGACTACAGTCTGTAACTGTAGAACTACAAAGTGCACCTATATAGTAAGTGGAGCTGATAAAATGGACAATGAGCGTAGAAACAAGGAGGTGGTCATAATGGTGGTCATATGCCTGATCAGTGTAAGCTGTTGTAGTTAGCTTAACGATTAGTATATGTGTTATTGTGCCTTTCTGTGTTGCACTGTGGGGCTGGATATTGGGTCTATATACCTGCCACTAGCATGGAATCTTGATGACCTGCCTTCTGTACCAGCTGTTCAGTACTTTTGGATATCACAATTAATTTGATGCTGTGTTAGATATAAGTGCATTTGAGACCAATGTAGTCGCGTCATCATTTCAAAATCAGCCCCTTGTTCTTGTATCCGCATTAAGAACTCTGGGCCTAAACTCAATTTCTCTATACCCACCTTTTCTCTATATTTCTCTGTATCGCACCCTGTGGTAAATAAATATGTTCAGAACCTGATACGTTTTGTTCTATGAACATTCTTCTCTCGAATATCACTGGATCCTCTGAATTACAAGGTCAGTAGAGAGTTGAAATATGAATATTGCTACATGTAACCTATTGCTACTGCACACTTAATTGACGTCATTAGACTGGCGGCCTCCTTAAAAACTGCAGATGAAAAGAAGTCAGAACAAAAAATATCAGGTTGCCTGCAGTTCTCTGTTCTTCACCTGATACTCGGTGAAACACAACAGATCTTTACATTCTGTTCATAGCTTGATTTGAAAAGCTCTACAAACACCTGCACTCAGGCTAATTCAGTACTGACTCATATTACTGTTTACCACTGGATAAGCTGATCTAGGCTACCTTATTACTTTAATGCTGGCAACATTTTCTGAGGAAATTTTCTCAGGACATTCGCTAGTTTCTTGTTCGAATTTTCCTGTTCTGCCTTAAATAGTGCAGCAGTTACATTCTGCATTGCTGCTCCATTTAAGGTGGAACAGAAAATTCAGACAAGAAGCTGGCAAGAAACAAGACTTCAGATTCATGGAGAGTTGAAAGGCATAATATGAGCAGGTTGCTTCACAGCTGAGTAACATTACATTATTTTTGCTGTTTTACAGAACTGACAGGTCAGTATTGTTTTCCCCATTTGCTAATGTTTGTGATAGCTAATCACAACTGCTGCACCATTTACGGTGGAACGGGAAAATTTGGACAAGAAGCTGGAGACAAAGAAGCTAATTTCAGCCTCATAGTTTTGATACTAGTAGTATTTTTTGATAATGAGTTTTAGGCGTTTTATCGAAATGTCCTACCTAGAGGTTTTATTTACAGGCATACCTGTAAAAAATCCAGTATGATAGAACATTTTGATAAGGTAGCACAACCTGCCATGACACGCTATAGCCCGTAAAATGTATAGGGTTTTTTGTAAGTCCCATTCATTCTGGCCATAGAGAAATCGAGCTTAGGCCCGGAGTTCCTAATATGGGCGTAAAGCGCACTACAGTGTAACGCACAACTACAGTGGTCTATGAGTGTTGAGTTGTGAGCAATTGGCCATGGGAAGCCGCTCATCAGCATAATAACTCCAGAAAGGATTGCATCGATTACTATTGCATATTCTTTGGCAATTATTAGGATTTAAAATTGTATAGTCTACAATTTGTGTCAAACAGTTGCCCAACTATCTAATTAGAAAATAAATTTATATTATTTCTAAGTCAATTTAAAAAACAATAATGAAACATTTTTTATAAATGACCTTAACTGTTCCAACTGAAGTATTTCTGTGGAGAGGAATTGTGTTTAAACGTAAGGGACCAAGCCAAAAGTACTTGTTGATGAAATTTGATCGTGATTTTCCTGATGTCATAATTACCCAGTAACAAAAAGGCCAACAGTTTTGGGAAAAAAATGGTACCAGAAGGGAAGATGGGTTATTAATAAATTGTCTTGACCAGTTAATTGTGAAGAAATGGGGTGTTGAGGTGGCACCAGTACGACTAATGTAATAATTATGTTCCCATTTCTAAATATAACATCTTATTTTCCTTATAAACTGTATTTTAGTAACTACTGTAACATTGTTCATTTTTAAAAACACATTTTTAAAAATACCTGCCTTCTTTATTTGTATATTGTTTGTCTTTTATCTACAGGTCCACCAAAACTGTAGTTAATATATTTAGTTTACACACACACACACACACCACACGTTTGTCTTGCTATACATATGAGGACGTCCATAAGTTTCTATTGATTTTTGTGTTACTGTAGCTAAATAATACTACACTTAAACCTGTACCTAACCCTAACCTTAACCTCAGTATCCAAAGAAGCAATTTTTCTGCTCTTTTAGTTTTCGAAGAAAAAAAGTAATTGTGGTGAAAACAACACAAAAATTTCATATAGTCCTATCATAGTGAGGACAGGTTCCTCACAAGTATAGCACTACAAGAACACACACGCACACACACACACACACATTTCCCTGACCAGGTCGAGCTGAACTGCAGTACACGTCTGTTTCCAGCGCGCAGCAGCAACGTGCCGTTTTCCGTCTCGTGCCGAAACGACGTCATTGGCATTTCAAGATGGCCGCGGATGAGGGCTGGAGGGAAGGGATCTGCTCAGCTGCAGGTTTTTAGCCTCCAGACTGCAGCTTAAGACACTTTAACCGATTCGTTTCGTCGGTATGTTCGGGATGATACGCGACAAGCGCGAATTCGATAAGATTGATAAATTTCGGTGTTTTTGTTGTGGAAGCGAAAGAGACGTGTAAGCGACGAGGAAAGGGCTCGAGGATGTCGAGGAGTTGTGGAGGCTGGCACTGTCGGCCTATGCCAGGCTTCCGCTGTGGTTCATACGCTGTGAAGAAGTGGAGTCACACTGGTCGCTGACTCTGCAGGTATCAGAGGTGTATATTCTGTAACCTACTAACTAACCGTCTTTTGTTAGAGTGGCTCAAACCTTGGTTTTGCGTTCTTCTTAGACTGACGTTTGACATTTCCTTCTCTAACACACCCGCTTCATTAATCAGCTGATTAGTTCAATGAGGCGTGTTACAAGATGGTGAACACCAAAGACATGCAGGGCAGTATTAACCTACTCCAGGAGCGAATGCAGTGTGCTGTTGTTGGGCCTACAAAAATGATTGATTTTCTTTACAGGTTGCCTTGACCTGAGGTTGTGATGTACCCTTGATGGACCTGCTGTGTCACCGGGAGGGCTGATGGTGGAGTCAGCAGCTGGAGGCAGGGGTGCTGAGGAAGGGAGACTGCCCTACACTGCTGATGGTCCCGGTAAGCCAGAGGAAATGGACAGACGGGACCCTCAAGCTGTAGCCCCACACGGCGAGAACGACGAAAGCTGTCCGACGGAAGAGGAGAGCAGGCATGGCCGAGCTTCCAGTAGAGGAGTTCAGAGTGTTGAGGCTTTTGCATGGACAGAGGATGAACAGCATCAGCAGGGCCATGCAGGTCCAGCTGTAGCAAAGCTTCCAAACGGTAATGTGGAATGTGTCTCTCGTACAGCATCCAGATGCGATTCCTGTGATCAAGCTAACCCTGCTAAATGTTGCTCTTTGGACAGAGATAGCAAAGTATTTGTTAATGGTGAATTATTGTCAGGTTCTGAATGTGCTTCTTTGAACGCTGATGTATCACCAGCATCGTCCACAAGCTTTGTCTTGTGTGTTCCAAAACCTCAGTTACATGACGCAACCCAAGATATGGGAGCAGTCCTACACCAAAATACAAATGTGTCCAGCAATGTCAGCTCAGGCTACACTTCCAGTAGTACACTATCTAGTCTGGTTCAAAGGGAAGCCACTGATGGAGGTCAGGAATCAGGAATGACCTCAAAAAATTGCTCTTCTGCAGCAGACTCTGAATCCATGCTCCGCTCTCTCCGGACCTTCTCCCCGAGCGATTTCCGCAGTGAACCACTTCCATCGAATCCTGAGGACAGGGAATCATGTCCTGGTCCTAACGGACAACAGGAAGACAGCTTAACGTTAATGGACGTGAGCCTGAACTCTAGAAACACGTATGAAATCAGCCGGCGCCAGAGCGCCCCGGACAACATGCCCGGAGTCTTGACTGTGGCCTCTTCGGATCCGTCACTGAAGCAGAAAAAACAAGGCCTCTCCGAAATCTTCGGCAGGTAGGATCTCACCTGACCGCTGCTTCTGTCTCTGCAAGTTTATGTAAATTGTATTACTGTGGAGCCGTTGGCCAAGATTGTCCAGTTGTGGTCTTGGTGGGCCAGAATCCAGTGCAGTTTTGTGATTTCCCTGCTCAAACACAACTGGTTTAACTCAGCAGTTAGTTTTGATGTTTAGCAGATGACTTTGAGCAGGAAAATCACTCCTGCTGGTCCTCCAAGATTGGACTATGACTAGATTATGAACCTACATTCTAGGGCTTCAGATTATGTGCAGAGTACAAATATTGCGATTATCTTGCTTAATGTTGAAATTGCTGTACACTTCACAATATATCAGAATGCACTGCAGAATCAGTAAATCAGGGCAAAGACAGGCCTGCATTATTTTTTGCAAAAATAATTTCTTTTTGCTGGATTACCTGAATCATCTGGAACTGTGATTGTTAAAGATGCTCACAGCACACAGTGAACTGAGAGTAAATGGAGGGCTCATTTACATATTGTAGCTTACAGCAATAAAAGCCAATATTGCAGTAACAATCAATAAATGACACTTTGTTCAGCCCTACTGCAGTTTTTTGATGAGTTTCTGTCCATCGGAAGACTGATAACTCAACCTAGAGCTCATGTTATAGTCATAGACATTCCACACACTCTGCTGACAGCAGTTAATGCTTCAGGCCCCATGAGTGGAATCTAAGAAAGCCGCAGCATATGCCTGTCAGCTGCTGCATTCACAGCTCAGCTGTAGTGTGTAATACTGCAATAATTCCATTCAGTTATATACAAAGTGTATCATTATTAGCCATTTTTTTTCTAGCTCTAGGTTTCTTATACATGTTAAATTCGATGACTTCTCTCAAAAATTCTTTTATATTAAAAGTGCCACCTTTAGATGATGGTCTGTATTTGAGATCTCACACAGAGTATTATGATAAATGCTGAGGGGTTGCAGTGAACTGGATGCTTTTTACTGGAAGTTTCATTAAATCATAATGAGACCTGTGCTGTAAGCCCCCAGATGCCACAGCAACCTGTGATGATCATTTAGCCTGTCTGGGCATGCTGACCAGGCAGGCAGCCAATTACAGAACAACAGCACAAGACAAGGTGCATTCTTCTCATTCAACATTTAAGACCCATGTAGACAGGTGAAAAACATCTGGAATCTTGCAGGCTCTCATTTTTGCTCCTTGCTTTATCACAATTGGGAGCTGATTCCCTTGACATTTTTATAGCATGATCCAATTAGCCATGTTTGGCTGAGCTCATTTGAGTTGAGGAGTCAGTTGATGATGATGTGTAGGAACAAGAAAACCACATTTTCCTTCACACTGTGCACAAATATTAGGGAAGTGCCAGGCTGTAATTGTGTAATGGGACAGTGTGAAAGCTATGGTCGGATGATACTAGGCCAAAACGTCACACTGTGAATTAAAGTATTGCAACATTTAAAAAAACTTTTTTAAGGCGAGGTAAGGCAGTAGTTTGATATTCTGGATAGGGCTGCATGATATGGATATAATACAACATTTTAAAATTGCTACATATTGCTTTTGCTAAATACCTTCAAGTATATTGAAAACATATGAGTGAATCCTTGATGTGACATGGTAAAATATTGGTTTGCTTTATTTTTGTATCAAAATATGTTTATTATATAAGTATAAAAATAAAATCGTAAAAATGAGAAAAACCTAGTAGATATGGTGACGCTTTTGACAGGTCTTGTCCCAACTTACTTGCTACAGCATGGTTTCAGCATCAGTTTTTAACAGATGCTATTGAACTATGTTTTTGATAGGGGCCTGTTCTCCAGGAAGCAGAGGGAGGCCCAGAGTGCACCTGGCTGGAAGCTTTTTGGAAAGGTCCCGCTGCGAGAAAGCCCTCCAAAAGACTCCAAGACCATCCAGCAGGTCAGCTACCAACCACTACAACCCTCATTTATGCTAGTGACCACAACAAAGCTGGAGCAACTGTACCTAGTAACATATATCTTGTAACTGTTTGATCTCCTTAGTCTTTAACAGCCATGAGAGGCTGTGCGTTACTGCTATTTTATCACGGGAAGGGTGATCTAAAACCCCCTTCTATAGGCTAAATAATGTTTTTCCTTTAGAGTATGGCATTGTTGCCAAGCAACCATGGACTGCCGAATGAGGAGAACGTTCGGTCGCCCATCGCTGTATATTGTGGTCATTTCATGACTCTTTTTTTTAACGTTTTTGTCATATAAGAATGAGCATATGATAACACAGTACAGTTTAATGCAAAAACCTTCGCTTTTTAAGTAATTTTTGGTCACCAAATTATCACCACGAGTCTTATTTAGCTCCAGTGCAGCGGCACACCTCTTCTTGTGCTGGGGCTGAATCGCAAATGGCTCCCTGCTTCCTACATAGTGCACTGCAAAATTTTAAATACTAGATTCTGCAACAAATAGTCACTTGGGACATTCATACTCGATAAATGATGCACTATTTGACTGTAGAGGCTAGAATTTCTAAACTTTCCTATCTAGAGCAATATTTATGGAGTACGGAGCCATTTGGGATTCAGCCTGGGTTTGACGTAACTTCTGACTGAAACACGAACATTTGAAGCATGTAAACCATGCAAGTGACATTTTTAGACTTGCTGCCATTTTACAGTTAATCATTACCATAAGTACTTTAATTCAAGCCTGTGATATTAATGATAGAGTTGTTTACGCTATTGGCCTCTTTTAGCCTGTTAGCTAGCTGACCAGCCTAGTTCTAGTTAAGAACATAAGTTGCCAGCCCCACAGTTTAAACAAAAAACGGGTTCTTACCTAATCAGTACGCTCAGTCGTCCTTGTGAGCTGCATGAGAGTCAAAGATTATTTCATTAACAGCACAAGGGTTTTTTTTTATGGAGCAGTAATACAGAGTTCAGTTGTATATACTAGATTGTACAGCAACGTCGGTGCAGCTCAGCCAATCAGATTTTAGGACTGGAACTATCCTTTTTATAACAAGCAATAAATTGGACTAAAGAAGCTTGAGGATGATATCATTTAGGTTGTAGAAATGCAACGAAATGCGACTTTTCCATTCTGTCTAGAGACACTGAGAATGAAACATGGTGTTTTGATTTGTATTATCTCTACTTACACTTGTGCAAGAAACAAAAGCAGCAGAAAACTTCCCCGCAGTAATTTCACTTCCCTTGAATAGTTTGTGGAAAAATCAAAATTACACAATTTTCTCCTGGCACCAAATGGAGTCTGTCAGCCAAGATGTGTTTGGTGTCCAGAGTTTGCTTCTTGAGTTTTACACTGGATCTAAGAGACTAATGTAGCTAACAAGTAATGGAAGCTTACGATGATTAGCATTGTGCAAACTGTGTGCCTGAATTAAACACTTGCCTCAAACTGTTTTCGGTAATATTAGATTTGCTTATTTGTTATACTGTAAAAATAAAAGTTCATAACATGCTAAAAACTGTAGTACCAACCATATTGAAGCCTGGATTTTGTCTGCATTTATGTTAATCTGTTTTGTGTATTGGAAGTTTCCATTACTTGTTCACTACATTACACTGCTACACATAGGGTGTCCCAAAACCTAGTGAGCTCTCTTAGTAGCCGCTGTCTACATTGGCAGCTGTCTAGGTAGAGAGCTCACTAGTTTTTGAGACACACCCATAGACTACATTTAGGGTAAGGGGAAAATCATGGAAATTTTCAGGGAAGATTTTTCCTCAGTTGTGTATGTAGGTTCTGGCTAGGTTGTATCAGCATGCGTAAGCTCTGATAAGTTTATCTTCACATTTGTTTGATTGTGTTTCCCCACTGCAATCCTAAGATTGGTAGCTATCCCTCACTATCTCTGCCTGGGCCCTTATCTACTAAACTTGACCTTCACCAACAGTGATCTACCAGAGCCAACACCAGCTTGAGTATTTATGCATCCACAAAGCATATACTTCTTGTTCTTGCAGACATTTAGACACATTAGGACTCTGCAGTGTAAAAAGGCTAAAGACTTGATTAGTTCAGCACTAGGCCAAATGTTGTCCAGGCCTCTTAAGTCATCCTTAGCTGCCCTGTTCTTGGCAGCTTTAATAGTAGACAGAGGCCCTAATGACTTAAGTGGAGTCGAACGACCGCACAAGGGATCAAGAAAAGACCTTCCTGTTATATGATCAAAACCTTTTCATCTCATCACTGCAGCAAGTCAGGGTCAGACCTTCAGTTAAAGGAATATTTAATGTAAGGAAAATTAAATGTACAAAATTATCCCAAAAGTAGTTGGTCTGCCAAGACACACTTAACTGAAGTTTGCTTGTCTGCTTTTGTGCTGGGAGCAGTGTTTATACAACATTTCTGAGATTATTTAAGAGCTCAACATGGCTTGAGGCAATTATATGTGATGATTTATCAATGCTAACAGGGGGATTATATGCTTCCATTAGTACTAGTAGTAGTAGTTGTTGTTAATATCATTATTAGCATATTATTGTTAATAATATTAATAATAATAAAAATAATAATATCACTGTCCTCTGCATTGGCCTCGTAGCACCAGTTCAGAGCTATAATAGTAAACTTTGAGGCACCAAACATGTCTTGGCTGATTGACTACAATAGTGCAAATTTTATTTTTTGCTGAGCTAATCCTTTAATAGCATTCTTCATCAGTTGCTGTAAGCAGTGAAAGGTGATAGTGGCCAAGCAGTGTTATACATATAAAATCATACAAACAAATACATAAATCATACCAACTAGTCCCTTTTGTTTTTAACTGTTATTTTTATGGTTTGAAATATTCCTTTTAAATCTGATTTTGATTCACAGATACTCCCAAGACTATGTGTAATTAAACTGTAGCTGCCAAAAAAGAGGCTTGTTTTCTTCCCAGGGCATCAGAGCTTCCAGAGTTTTCACAGATTTTCTTTCTTTCTCTCTGTCTTTTTTCCTCTAACTGAGTGCAGTCTCTTCTTCTTTTTTCCTTCAGGACAGTAACCCAGGCAATCTCACATCTGTATCAACACCCAATCTCTTAAGTGCAGGGGTAGGCTTCTATTTCATCAACGCTTACGGTCTGTGTTGTGTGTGCATGAAGCACAGCAGCATTGCTTTACATTGGTCATTTCAGCCATTGATGTGTCCCTGGAGCTCGAGTGGATGTCAGGCACTTGTATACTTGCACTTGCCAGGAATTCATTTTGCAGTTTAAAGCCACCAGACTTGTTAGTCAGGATCGGCGATGTGATTGCTTTAGTCACTCTGGGTCATCGAAGGCCTGTGCTGCTGTTCCGCATTCTTGGCATGTGTGCTTTCACTTTCAAGTATGTTTCTTCCTGCAGTGTCCTTATATATGCTATGCTGTGGTGTGCTTTGTTCTGCCATGTAAAAATGTATAGATATTACCCAGGTAGGTTACAAGGCTAATAGCTAACAAGTAATTGAAGCTTATGTATATGAATTAGCATTGTGCAAAATGCATGCTTATTTAATCACACACTTGCCACAAACCATGCCATGTTGTTAAGTATTTTCAAATAGACTTACACTGTAGAACATATTGTGATCTATAACAATGAAAGCACATTGCAGAGCTAAAACAGCAATAGCTGACATGTAGAAGACTGTTTTTTTTTATGTACGTTCACCATTATGATAATTGATATGATATGATAAGTGTCATGCAGTGTCAGAAAACAATTTGACAGGGTTTAAGACATTATCGTCAAACACGTGGTGATTTAGACGTGCAATTTGCAAAGGCTGATGTTTTATTGTCATAAGGTTCTGTTACTTTTTAACTATATTAGACTCATTGTTCCATGTTAAAAACTTTGGACACAAAAGGTGTTGAATGATTGACTGCATTTGGGGTAAGGTAAATTAGATTTGTCTGTTGTTTTATGAATATTACGCATCCCCATTTCCAAAAAAGTTGGGACGCTGTGCAAAATGTAAATAAAAACAAAATGCAATGATGTCCAAATCATTTAAATCCTACATTTAATTGAAAATAGTGCAAAGACAACATATCAAATGTTGAAACTGAGAAAAATAAAGCGATAATGTAAAATAGCAAAGACATTTTGCTTTTCATCATCTACCATATATAACATAAAGATTCAGAGAATCTGGATCCAGAAACACTGCCACCTTCTTTGGGCCTGAGCTCATTTAAAACGGACTGAGGCGAAGTGGAAACGTGTCCCGTGGTCTGACGAATCATCATTTAAAATGTTTTCTGGAAATCATGGACACTGTGTCCTCTGGGCTAAAGACCACTCAGCTTGTTATCAGCGCACAGTTCAAAAGCCAATGTTCATGATGGTATGGTGTGCATTAGTGCACATGGCGTGGGTGACGAGCACATCTGTGAAGGCATCATTAATGCTGAATGATACAAACATGTTTTGGCAATATGTGCTGCCATCAAGACGACGTCTTTTTCAGGGAAGGACTTGATTATTTCAGCAAGACAATGACAAACTACATTCTGCATGTATTGCAACAGCATGGCTCCAGCTGCGAAACTGACCTGCCTGCAGTCCAAAACTGTCACCCACTGATAACATTTGGTGCATTATAAAATGAAAAATACAGTTGGTGTCCTCAGTTCCCAAATGCTTACAGAGTGTTGTTAAAAGAAGAGGTGACAGTGGTAAACATGACCCTGTCCCAACTTTTTTGGAACGTTTTGTTGGCATGAAATTCAAAATGGGCATATATTTTCCAAAAACATTTCTCAGTTTCAACGTTTGATTTGTTACCTTTGTACTATCTTCAAAGAAATATAGTGTTTACATGATTCGTACATCATTGCATTTCTTTCATTTACATTTTGCACAGCGTCCCAACCTTTTTGGAAATGGGGTTGTACATGTTTTGCTCTGATATTAGACTACTTCTGCAAGCCTGACACCATCACCCCCGAGCTGTCATGTTCATGTTCATGCTCATCTTCCTCTCGTTTAAACCCCTCTCTTAGAAGTTTATTCATGACTGCGTCTGTATGTTTTGAGGAGTAACTGTTTATGAACAGTGAGGCAGCGTTTTTGATTCTCAGTGCTTGTGCTGTTTTTCAGCCATATGTGATGTGTGAGATTGTGCTCTAAGAGGTAAAACTATAGTAAAACTATGGTTTACTATAGATGCTGCAAGTAAGGAGTAGATTTAAAAATGTAAGTGTTCCTTTAAGCTTTGAGTCGATTCCTCCTAACTGAACATGCAGTGCTTGTCATAATTCTTTCTTTCTGTAGTTGTAAAGACACTCACACAAGGCCACTGCCCACCATGGCCTACAGCCTCCAGCCTAATCAAACCATGTGATCTTCTTGTTGGCTTTTTCCTTTTTGCCTTCATTCACAACTCCCTGTATTGTTATCAAAAGCATTGCTACATCACTTTACCCTTCCACCTCCATTCCCTGTGCTTTTCCTTTTCTGAAGGTAGAACATATACTAAATAAGTAAGTCTCCGTTTTTTTTTAATATCTGCAGGAGTACGAGGCCAAGGCCAGTAAAGGAGGTCACAGCCCGCCCCAGCCTTCCCAAGGACGGCGTAAGAACCTAGAGTTTGAGCCTCTGTCCACCACAGCTCTCATATTAGAAGACCGGCCAGCGTGAGTGTCATTTAAAGCAATGATTCTGCAATAAAAACGAATTTACATAGTTTTTCCCTCTTTCCCCAAAGTTAGTTGCTCAACCAAAATGAGTGTCTAAAGTTTGCTTCTTTAACGTTGCACTGAAGTTATAGATGTGATTTAGCTAACAAATAGAGGACCTGATTAATTACTCCCAAAAGCTAAGAACAGTAGTAGCAGCCTGTATTTTGTATGTACTTTTGTTATTTTGTTTATAGACACTATGAATGTATGTGGCTTCTGAGGGTCAGAAACCACACAAGTAAGTCTGTTTGAGGTTTCTTAATGTGGTTTGAAGCAAGTGATTTAGGTATACAGATCACATGATGCTAATTGGTGAAGTGTAAGCATTCTGCGCTTGTTAGCTACATTAACCTGTCCAGTGCAAGGCTAAAGGAGCAAACCTCAGACATTGAAACTGCCCACATGTCTTGGCTGATCCACTATGTTCAGGGTATAAGTGAAATGGTGCAAAATTGGTTTTTCGTCAGACATTCTTACATTAAGTGTGGTCCTATCAGTGATCATTTCTGTGTACAGTCATGTGAAAAAGTAATGTAAAGTTTAGCCTTTTTTTGGACATATTTTGAGAAAAGGATATCAAGTCTTCATTAAAACAGTGATGATAGATAAATGTGATATAATTTAAGTGAAACTTAGAATTAATATTTTTGTCATCCTTTACACAATTAAAATATGTAATGCAGTTTTCTTATGTGGAAAAAGTAAGTACACCCCTATATTACTACATCAAACATGTCATTTTAAAATCAGGTGCTAATGATTAGAGCACTGTAAGAGAATGTCCTGGAGGAGCTTGTCATATTTAAATCTCAGATATCTGGTCTGGTTTGTTCTTTATTTGAGTGTATAGTATCATCATGCCTAAATAAAAAGCTCTCTGAGGCCTTCAGAAAGAAAGTTGTTGATGCTTTTTAGTCTGGAAAGGGGTTTAAGATATCCAAAATATTGGACATGAATTATTCCACTTTCCAGAAGATCATCTACAAGTGGAGAGGATTTAAAACCTCTGCCAACTTAGACAGGCCAGGCCATCCCAGCAAATTTTACCCAAGAGCAGACAGTAAGATGCCTCAGCCTCTAAGAACCCCAAAATTTCTATTCGTAGCCCTTGTCACTCGCTGTTGTAAAAGTGCATGTATCTACCACAAAAAAATAAAGACTTAAAAGAAATAAAATTTGACCTACATGGGTGGTGCAGCATGAAGAACCATTTTCTGTTTTAAAAGAACTTTGGGGCAAGACTACAGTTTGCTATGAATATCTGGTCAAGGACTGAAACTTCTGGAACAATTTGCTATGGACAGATGAGTCAAAGAGTTGTTTGGCCACAGTACCAGAAAACGTGTTTGGCGAAAACCAGAGACAGCAGTTGATCAGAGGAACCTCTGCAAAGCACGGTGGTGGGAATGTTATGCTTTGGGGCTGCTTTGCTGCCTCAGGGCCTGACCAACATGCAGTCATAGAATTGTCTATGAATTCTCGTTCATTCTTAGAGAGTGCTTGTGGAGAATTTGAGACCACCTGTAAAAAGTTGAAGTTAAAGAGCTGGACCTTCAAAGAGGATAACTGGATTATGGTTCCAAACATGCAAGTAAATCCACCAAGGAATGGCTCACAAGGAAAAAATGGAGGGTTGTGGAATGGCCTAGTCCAGAGGTTGGGAACATGTAGCTCTGTAGCCATAAGAATTTTTAGGTAAAAATAAAAAAAGGTCCTCTTTTGCAGTAAAATAAAGCTTTGCTGAGCGTTCTTACACACAGTCCAAGTCCAGTTTAACACAGTCCATCAATAAATGGTCTTTAACGCTGGAGTTCATTTGTAAATGGTCTTATATGCTACTAATTCACCACCTTTTAACCCTGAAAATGGGCACGAAGACTGGTCACACAGCAACACAGACAACGGTCACACCTAAATTGTAGCTAATGAAATGGCAAAGGAAATAAAGATTTAAGATGAACGTCAATCATTTAGAGATGAAGGGACAGACTTATTTGCATTTGTAAGCACTCCAGCTGGTTTCCTGATACGGTTAATCTGCAACGGGAAACTGTCAAACACAAAGTTACGAGGCTGAAGTCAGCTTCTCGTTCGCCAGCCTCTTGTTCGAATTGTCTTGTTGCATCTTAAATGGTGCAGCAGTTACATTCTGGCGCATGCACTATTTAAAGTGGAATAGGAAAATAGGAAACTGGAGAATGAGGAGCTGACTTAAGCCTCATAAAAAATCAAACATTGGGAGACATTTTACAAGAAACTATTCTGCTATTCCAGAGGGAAAGTTTCCTGCTGGAGATGCAAGAAAAGCAGCTGTAGCAGAGCAAAAGCTTAAAGCAGAGCAAAGTATGCATTCTTGTTTATATTATGTTTTTTAGCCTATACTAGGATATTAGCACATACTAAGGCATATTTACAGCCAGGATAGAAAAACGTTACTTCAATAAAATGGACATAAAATGTAGTGGATCCCAAGGTGGTTTGATTATTTGTGAAAGGACAAAATGGCTCTTCTTAACATTTTGGGTTGCCGACTCCTTGCCTAGTTCAGATTTGAATCCTTTTGAAATGCTGTGGGGAGATTTTAAATGGGATGTACATGCAAGAACCCACTGAAACATTGCAGAATTCAAAGAATTCGGCATAGATAAGTGGGCAAAATTTTCTCCCAGTAGATGACAGATGTAGATGATCTATATGTACTGTTTAACTGAAGATCTAATACTGATATTTCAGTGTATGTCAAAAAAAGAGAAACTTCTCATGGGGTCTGCTTACTTCTTCGCATGACTGTATGTATGTATGTCAGTCCCAGTCTTTAAAGCTCCAGTCATGGCTGTGGTTACCTCTGTGAGTTTGGCACCCTGTATTTGATTACATAGTTGTTGTTGTTAACTCAACTGTTCATGTAGCCCATTAGAACATACTAATAGGTGCCAGACTGGGTCTTTCAAGCAAAACAACTTAAAGGCTACAGACAGCAAATTTTTCCTAGTATATTTTGTATGTTTGGGATCAAAATGGTCAGCATTCTATTTTTCTAATGTATAGACTATAGAGAGACCTTGTAGCATTAGAGACTCACTGGCCTCGGTGACGTACCAGGACACTACACAACACAATATGAGCTTTTGTAGTATGTACATTGTACAGCTTCTAAATGTGTATTCGTTGCACTGTCCCTGCAGCACTGGGTGTGGTGTATAGTGAGTGGTGTAGCATTTAGCCTGGCAAGGAGATCACTTCTTGCGAACAAGGGTCTAAAAATAAGCCTCTGCTCAGATGACAGCTCTTGTGTTTCACTGTGTGGGTCTCCCCAGCCACCCCACACTGCTTCTGTCTTCAGGCACCTATTAAGAATGAATGATTGATGAAATGTGAGGGCGCTTCTTGATACAGGAGAAGTACAGATAAACTTGGAGTGACAGGTGCTGTGTACTGAATAAAACTTGTTGGTTTTGTCTGTATGGACACGATGATGTAGAACCAGTTTATTACCTTTCACTTTGTACCTATGCGCGCTGGCCATTTTATCAGGTACACCTTCCATATAGATGCACTTAAGGTATTCAGTTCACTGACTGTAGCTGTATCTGTATCTTTTGCTGTAAAATGCTTCAGCCCTCTCTACCCTTTTCCACCAATGGAAACGCACCAACACAGGGCCACCACTGACTAAAATGAGGATATTTTGTTGCTGTCATGATAAATTCAGAAAAGCATATTGTAACAATTTATCATGACAGCAATAAAATATCCTTGTAAGTATGTTGTGGTCATCACAAATACTGAAAGAACACTGCACAACTGCATGGTTTATTAGAAAGACTTGTTTAATTGGCTTTAGTGCAACACAATGTGTGAAACATTGAATAAAACGTGCCAGTTCTAACTTATCAGACCTCAGAAATAATGAATTGTGTTTTTTAACATGTGCTAGATCATCATGATGTTATGTTTTTGTCATATTTCCCACTCCTAAGTAGTGGCATCCTAGTGCGTGTTGCACTAGTACGCATGTATTGGGCACAGCAGTGTTGCTGGGGTTTTTATCTACATCAGTGTTGCTGCTAGGTTGAAAAGAGTGTAGTGGAGCTTCATGGGATTAGTTGGATTGGCATTTGTGATCCTGAATTAACCATCCAATATCAGTACCAGACCTCACTAATACTCTTGTTGCTGAATGCAATCTGATCCTCACGGTAATGTTTCAACATCTAATACCTTCCCAGAAACGTGGATGCTGTCAGCGTAGCAGAGTGGGGACAAACTCCCTATTAAGACTCCTAATAAATGTCCCTAATAAAATGGCTAATTAACGGTTCAAGCTAGTACAAACACTCATTAGATGCACGTGTGTTGCACCTAATGAGAGGGAAAACACTTCTAATGATTGGTATATAATGATCTTTTAAAACATTTCAGTGTTTTCCATTGTCTTGATTGCCAAACTTTGCACTTTTGTCTCAGCAACCTTCCTGCTAAGCCAGAGGAAGAAGCTCAACGCCACCGGCAAGAATATGACGAGATGGTGGCTGAGGCTAAAAAGAGAGGTAGAGACTATCCGTCTGTTGCACCAATAGCTTATGTTTGTGTTGGTTATCCTGATCTAGGCCTTTACAGCCTCATTGGAACAATGTCTTGTTTAGATATTGTATTTAGTGTTCCTCTGTACAGTGCCTAAAACGTCCAGGAAAGACAAAAAAACATGAGGGCCAGTTTTGGCTAATTGGCGTAATCTGGACTTAATTTTGTGCCAAAAGTTTCAAATAAAATAATAAAATCCAGAATCAAAATATTGAGTATCAGATTGTCTAAAATGTGTTGCAAATACAAATAATGAGAGTTAAATCAAATTATAAATTTGATTTAAATTATAAATATAAATTATAAATATAATTTTTTATAAAAATTACAGCTTATTTTCTCTTATTCTGATGTAAATTCGATACTCGTTTTACCAGTTTTTTTCTCTTTGCTAATTTTCCTGATATAATTTTTGCTCCTGGAATCGCTCTTTTGCTTCTAAAAGTTTTCTTTTGCTTTTGACTTTTGGCACAAAATGAACTCCATAGCTTAATGCTGTTGTTACTTTCTTTTATTATTCATACTTTTCTTTCACTGTTAGCATTGTTAGCAATGTTAGCATTTTTATTTTAATTTTTTGGAAGAGTCGCTCTTTAAAATGGAAGCTGTAGTGTTATGTAAGATTGGTATAGTCTTTGAGGGTAACTGCCAGCTGTTTATGTGCAGAGCTGAAGGAGGCCCAGAAGAAAAAGCAACAGATGAAGGAACGCTTCAAGCAGGAGGATAACATCTCCAATGCCATGGTTGTCTGGAACACTGAGATCCTGCCCAACTGGGACAGCATGTAAGCAACACTTGCTCTGTTTAATGCTGTACTTTACAGGCTCTGAATCCACTAGTGGGTAAATTAAATTAGCAACTCTGGCTATGTAAAAAAATTCCTTATATAATGTAGTGTTTTCCTATTCCTATTCCTTCCTATTAATGTCCTTCATTTAAAGTAACATTGTGGCATTTAAGTTTTTTGAAGTTGCAGTTTATACTCGCTTTGAAATGAACTAATTTCTTCTTTGCTCATTCAGGCGTGGTACTCGTAGGGTTAAAGATTTGTGGTGGCAGGGCCTTCCACCAAACGTCAGGGGCAAAGTATGGAGCCTGGCCATCGGAAATGAGCTCAACATTACTCCAGGTATCATTTATTAAATATTGTTTCATTATAGTGGTGCAGATATCTAATTTAGTTTGTGTCTAAAAATGTCCATTTTAATATTCTTAAACTATGCAAACTTTTGATGGATAGTGTACAATCACGTCATGTATACTGTAATTATTGCCACTAATCATTTTGTGACATATGGCTTGAGATTTGATGTCCACTTTTGAAGTATAATGAATACTGGATATTAGTTTTCTAACTTAATTCTCAGTGATTTACAACTGTCTCAGTCTCCTTAGAATCTTCTACAACACTGTTCATGATTCTGGGCACATCTCAAAGTTCTACATTTTTATTTAGAACTTCTTAGTGTCCAACCTAATTTTATTTTTTTACGTTTTATTTAAAACGTGAAGTTGCACCAGAATACAATATTAAATATTAATTTGTTTAATATTACTGGAAACACTGCTTCCAATATTTTTTCAACACTGATTCTAAACTTATTTCCTTTGTACTACTCCCACACACTGCTGCTCTTTCTTGGCAGAGCTGTATGAGATCTTCCTGTCCCGGGCCAAGGAGCGCTGGAGGACCTTTAGAGACACGGGCTGTGAGGTGGAGACAGAAGGTACGTCTGTATTACAAAATAAACATAAACAAAAGTCATAAATGGACCACAATCACAAAATGACCATATAGTTATTTATTAAATACCTACACTTAATTACATATTAAAGCGCCACGTTTTCAACATTTTATAAAACCACTAAGCCACTTGTGGCTGCATATTTTCACAGTAATTTCACCCTGTTTTTGTTTCCACAACATAGTAACACACAGCCTCTCATGGTTTATTGAATATCACAAGAGATAATTAAAACAAGATATTACATAAAACCCACGAGCCAGATTACTGCATGATTCAGAAAGTTTGGTGGGTATTATCCCAGTTATGTTGTCAAATGTCATACATTTAGCCCAATCCTTTGCGATTTTTCTTTCGGCCTATATGACTTTTGTTTATACCTTTATAGTTTGATGTTAAATGTCAGTGTGAATGCAAAAAACAAAAACAAATTAGAACTAAATTGTAATAAAATGTCATATTTTCTACTTTAGTTAAGACGAAAAGATCCCACAGCCTATAAATCTATTCATCTAACGTCATGTTTCAAATGTTCGTTTTGGTAACTGAATAAAATTCTTAAAATATTGAATGTTAAAATCAAATCTGAACCTTTATTAATGAAAAAACGTAGTTTAATAAGTGATTGTTTTCCAGTATTAATTGCCTGGTACATCAAATAAATAAATATCCGATTTCCACAGACTTGACAAGTGCACACTGTGAGCACCAAAATACCCGTATGCACACACTCGCAAACCACTGGTTTTAATTCTTTCGAGTGGGCGTGGGCGTATGCGTGTGCGTGGGCGTGTGCACATGTGTGAGAGAGAGAGAGATGCGTGGGTGAACATCAGAAACCTTTCACTTCCCTATAATTGCCTTTTCTTTAGTTAGTTCCTTATTGTGCTTGCAGCATCAGTTACTTTCCATGTGTTCTGCACACCAGAACCTAGGCTTGTTGTCGACACGCTAATTTAATGCCAGTGTTCTGTGTTAGACATAGTCATCTGTCCTCAGGTTGTTGATAAACAGTGAGTGCGTTCACATGCGTTTAATAATCTGATAACTGCAGAAAATCAGATTATGTCAGTAATCCGCAATTAACATATTTATATGCACCTGAGTAATCAGATATTGTGAAACTCCGGGTCTACATGAGTCAGGCAGTAATCGGATCTCTGCTTTGCAACCAGCCAGTAAACTCACAAAAGAAGACGTGACGTAAACATAACATAAAACTCAAACTTCATGCCGTGGCTTTTTTTTAAACATTGCGCCACTTTGGGATTTATTTAAATCCTTTATTTCGTGTTTGTTTTCAGCTCCGCTCCAAAAGTGTTTTGCTACCATCTCAGGACGTCCACCATCTGTTCTCGTGCATGCGCAGACTGAGAAATCCGAAAGAAATCCGAGTAAGAGTATACGTGCACTGAGAAATCTGATTACTGAGCTAAAATCTAGCTCTCTTAATTGGATTTCTAGATCAGAGTATGGTGTTTATATGACCATTTAAATAATCAGATAACTGCATTATGATCGGATTATTAAGTGCATGTAAACGCACTCATTGGTTTAGCAAGCCTCTAGGACAGGGGTCACCGTACACAAAGGGCTGGTGTGGCTGCTTAAAACCTACAGCTACACCAACCCTTGAAAACCTACAGCTACACCAACCCTTTTTGAATAAGACTGACCGCTCTAGGAAGATTGGATGAGAATGTGCATGTGATGGCTCTGGTGTTGGGCTTTAGAGCCTCCTTACATGTAATTTTCATTCTGACATCAGTGCTGTTTTGTCCTGGGCTACATCACTAGGAGTTTTACATGTTTTGACACTACTATAGTTAATTGGTTTCCCAACCAAATATATTGAGTCACCCCATTTTGTGGCTTTTAAACTATTTCCAAAATATTTTGTGTTTTTTTTGAATAAACAAAAGCACACTTTGTATAACAAGACACAGCGTCAGCTGCATATTGTTAAACACTTTTGCGGTGTAATGCTACACTCTAGCAATATATTAATCAATATAGAGTATTTTTAAGGTATGAATTATGACCTTAGGGGTACTCTTATCTACAGATTCCTCTGACATACTGCAAGTCTTGGTTTGTGGTTTCTGCTATTAGAAAGATGCAGAGTTGCTTTCCCTTTGCCTGGCACTTGCAATGTGCTGTTGGGGTTTTTTTTTAATCCTCTAAGTGTCGTGCTGTGACCATACTTAACTCCACTATTCCCTTTGAGCATAGCTTAACCGCCACAGAGGCTGATGATTATGAATAAAGTCACAGACTTGTTCTGCTTTCCTCCTTACCACAAAGTTGCTATTTTCATGTAGCCTTTATCAGCTACGTTGAAAGACTGGTTTCTCTCGCTGTTGTGATGTCCACAGTAGACAGCGGAGCATCAGTGGCAGACCGAGAGAGCAGCCTGGATCTGATCAAACTGGACATTTCCCGCACCTTCCCCTCACTCTTCATCTTCCAGAAGGTATGTAAGATTTGTACAGTCAGATCCATAAATATTTGGATGTATTGTTATTTTAGCTGTCTTACTAGAGTTGAAATGTAAAAATGAATGAGTTCTACTTTGAGGGTATTTGCATCCAAATCAGGTGAACGGTGTAGAAATCACAACCATTTTCATACACAGCACCCCATGTTCAGAGGCTCAAAAGTAATTTGACAAATTAACATAATTCTACATCGAATTGTCTTTTTTAATACTGAAGCTGAAAGTCTAATATGCCAATATGCTGTGGTAGACAGTTAAAATAACAACAACAATTTTTTTTTTTAGGGAGGGCCATATCATGACCTCCTCCACAGCGTACTCGGAGCCTACACCTGTTACCGGCCTGATGTGGGATATGTGAGTATTGCTTGCCGAGGGAAAGGAAAGAAAATTGCTAGAGTTATTTACACTTTTTTGAGAAATCAATGGGACTCATTCACCAACTGTTCTTAAGAAGAAATTTCTTCTTAAAACCCACTTATACAGTTTTTCGAAGATTGTGATATTCACCAATGTTTTCTAATTTGGCTTTTGTTCTTAGGTAAAAACAGAATCTACACACACTCAAGAGCACAAATGTGTGAACGTAGACTTTTTCTTGGGACCTTTCTCAAGAACTAACCTAACAAAAACTTAGAAAGATATTGATGAATGAGGCCCATTGTTACACCATTTACTTTGCTCTGATCATAGTACTGAGACAGCTCTCATCCATGTCCTTAATGATCTGCTCCTATCCTCTGACTCTGGCAGTGCATCTGTATTGCTTCTGCTTGAGCTCTCAGTATGGTCATTTGTAATATACTCATTTCATTACTTTCCACTGTTGGTCTATCTTGGCTCACATCTCATTTTGTTGCTAGTGGGAGGCACAAATCAATCACTGCTCCGATTACCACAAGGCTCTGTTCTTGGTCCCTTGTTATTTATTGTCTGTATAGTGCCCTTTGGAAACATTATTTATTCCCATGGCCTCAGTCACTGCTTTGCTCACAATACACAGATCTATCTTTGCCTTAAACCTACAGAATCATCCCCCCTGTCTCTGCTGTTGTCCTGTATTCAGGAGTTAATGCATTTGTTGAACTCTAACCTTCGAAAGATAAACACTAAAAGAATGGAATTTCTGATTGTTGGTGCCAAGTCAGCTGTCTCTGCCTATTTGGAGTGCATTCTTGTTACTGATGATACTACAGTCAGCCCATCCTCTATTGCATGAAACCTTGGAATGCTGTTTGACCCATGTCTCACCTTTGTTCCACATATTAATCTCTGACGAAGTCTGCATTTTTCCATCTTTGTAATTTTGCTAGACTTAGCCTGATGCTTGCCTTATTAAAGATACTGAGATCCTGGTGTATTCTGTGCATACATCTAGGTTAGACTGCTGCAGTTCTCTGTTCTATGGTTTAACTTTTAAAACTTTGTTCTCTTCAGTACATCCAAAATTCTGCAGCCAGAGTCTTAGTACCCACTAAGACTTCTATCCATATTACTCCCATCCTTCATCAGTTACACTAGCTTGCGGTTACAGAACGGGTCTGTTACGAAATCCTGCTGTTAACTTTTAAAACCTTGCACCTACTTATCTTTCTGCTTTGTTACATCCTCATGCCCCATTGTGCAGTCTAAATTCTCTGATTCTGGTCTTCTAGCTGTTCCTATATTCAGGCTTTCCACTATGGGTGGCAGGTCTTTTAATGTTGCTGCCCCCACCCTCTGGAACTCCTTGCCTTCACCCGTTTGCTTGGCGACCTCTCTTTTCATCTTCAGCTAAAACTTCTTTCACTCCCTTTTAATGTTTTAATAATCCTAATAATCTTTTTTCCCTTAAATTGTAAAGTGACCTTGGGTATATGAAAGGTGCAATATAATAATAAGTAATAACAAATTGTCGCAGAGCTAAAATGGCTGTTTGTTCAGTGTTAATTGGCATACATAGCTCCAGTGCAAAACTTAAAAAAAAAAAAATTCACTGAAAATATCTTGACTGATTGATCACATTTGCATTAAGTGGAAAATTATGTATGCAAATTAAAGATCACTCTTTTAAAGGTCCCAGACAATGTGATTTAAAAATACATCTAACCTGTATTCCACGTCATTTGCAGTCTGTGCTTAATCATTGTTTGGGCTGATTTTCAGGTCCAGGGCATGTCCTTCATTGCTGCTGTGTTGATTTTAAACATGGAGGAGGCTGATGCGTTTATCGCCTTCGCCAACCTCCTCAACAAGCCCTGCCAGATGGCTTTCTTCCGAGTCGACCATGAACTGGTACAAGCTTTTGAACTCCTTTTTTTGAGTCCTGTTTTGGTTTGTCAGAAGATTTTCGGTGTGATTTACTGTTGCTGTGTTATTTTTTAATTATAGATGCTGAAGTACTTTGCAGCATTTCAGGTATTTTTTGAGGAAAACCTTCCAAAGCTGTTCAGTCACTTCCAAAGCTCCAGCCTTACCCCAGATCTCTATCTGATTGACTGGTAAGTGCAAGTTTAGTGAAAGTACTAGTCTTTGGTTGTAAGTGGGACTGTGTGAGCCTCGCTTTAACTCTTAGAAGACTGGAACTATTGTTGATTTGATGTATTACTTAAACATAATAACAAATATAATCACGTAGTTAATTACACTTTCATTTGGCAGCACATTCGACATTATCTGATTGTTTCAGTGAGCTATGAGTGAGAAATTATTCATATGAAGTTACAATATGCTTTTGTATTGCTTGCGATAACTGCATCTTCTAAAAGTCAAAGTTGCTCCAACTCCCTCAGAAACCGTTATTTGTCCACCTCTGTCCTCAGGTACACCTGATGCAAATTTACGCTCAAAGGATTACTGTCGGACCTCAAATGACTAATTTATACCTCAATTCCTACTAATGCATACTCATCCAGTCATATTTGTCATATTTGTGCATTGTGTTTAATTCTGAATGTTACCAAGATTATCTGATCAAATCGTGGTGAAATTTGAGATTTGATGATCAGTCATTTCGAAAAGGACCATAATTTATTTATTTATTTTTTGGTTAGGTCAGAGATTTACTTCTCCACTCTGAACATTTGTGTATATGTATGCAGGATCTTTACCCTCTACAGCAAGTCTCTGCCGCTGGATGTGGCGTGCCGTGTGTGGGACGTGTTCTGCCGTGATGGAGAGGAGTTCTTATTCCGGACGGGGCTCGGCATCCTGCGCCTATATGAGGAGGTTCTGCTATGCATGGACTTCATCCACATTGCCCAGTTCCTCACACGCCTGCCTGATGACGTCTCTGTTGACCGCCTCTTTGGCTGCATTTCTTGCACACAAATGACCAGCAACAACCGCAAGTGGACCCAGGTCTGTTCCTCATTCAGCTTCCCAAAGCACAGAAATAACTCTCCTCACCTTCTGATGAAAGTCACCATAAGATCAAATTAGTGCATAATTCGTGCATATCTCAAGAGAAGTTTTTTGGGGGGGTGGGGGGCTGAGGAGTGGGAGGGTCAGACAGTCGAATGACAGACAACTGCAGAAGTTCAGAAAGACGTTTTGTTGGAGTACATTCTTTCCCACCCTCTGTGAAGACCCGCCCCTACTCTGCCTCTGATAAGACTGGCTTTGACCCTGATATTCTTACCCTAACCACCTCACTCCCAACAAAGGCAATGAGTACCAGCCAATCAGAGGCAGAATAGTTCAGGTCTTTGTGGGATGCCGATGAGAAAGGCCTCAGTATGTATCTCTTCATTCTCCAGAGCTGAGGAGAGACAAGAAGGACCACAAGGTCAATTGTGCTTATTCTACTACCTCTAGCAGACAAGAGTTAAATGGAAATGGGCCAGAGTACATTGTGTAAATTAAAAAAAGGCATCTTGAAGGCTGAACTTTGTCTGTTTATTTTTATAGAGAAGAGTATCTTGAGAAGAGAGAAACTGTTGCATCAAGGCTATGGGAGGCTAGTTTGAAGAATCTACTATAGAATTTTGTTCTGATTTGAACACTTCTTAGTGTTGTTTCATGCTTTTGATCTCTTGATTATTATTCAAAAAATGGAAAACAGTAAAGATAAAGAAAATCCTTCAGAGTAAGCATAAAACGCTTTTGATTACTAGTATTTAACAGGCCAAAAACATGGTCTATTAATATTGTTTCTCAGCTATATACATGTAGCATTCTCTGTTTAAATAATATATTAATGATGTCCTTCGTTTTTTCTTTCTTTCTTTCTTTCTTTCTTTATTTTTTTTAGGTATTTAGTGCGCTAATGAAGGACAAAGAAGTGGACAAAAGCAGCAGCCCTTCCCTGAAGAGCTCTTGACCCATCTATTCTAAATCTCTTTTATAATGTCTGTTCTTGAAAGGTTTTTAATAATGGCAGTGGTGTAAGTTAAAGCTTGCTGGCTTTAGAGCAATGAAAGTCACATTGACTGAAGTAAAACTCTCTCTCTGGAACAGTTGCCAGGATTAGGAAAACTGTGATTTTTGTAGGAGTAGCTGTACAACGTAAAGGAATACACCAACATTCTTTTCAACCTAATCTCTTTGCCACATTTGTGGCATACTGAAAATTGCCACAGACACAACTTGTGCAACTGCCCATTGACATTTAATAGGATTGTTTTGAGTCAGTGGGATTTCTGTTTTTCCCCCCCCAAGTACAGGAAAATGGTCAGTATCCATAATCAGACAGAGATTAGGTAGAAAAACTCTGGGGTATCCCTTTGACTCTATATAATCTATAAACAGTTACTTTTTAGTTTGGTATGTTCTCAGACAGGGCATACAAACGTGCATCAGGAGAATATGAAAATATTCCACCAGCCTCCTAATGTGCTGTGCTCGTAACCAGCAAATTGTTTGCTGTGATTTTCTTGTGGAGAAATAATTCCTCAGAAATGTTACATCAACAGCTGGCACGTTGTATACAGTGGGCCAGTGCTCATGTCTGTCATCTCTATTGTAAGGAATCTAAGTGTATGGCTGCTTTTTTTCACCTAACATATTTAATACATTAACTAATAATGTACTTGAAGCTGTGATCCTTATGAAGGATATTTGTTCTTAATTCAGACATACTCAACCACTAGCTTCAGAAAAGAGGAAAAAAGACTTTATACACAAAGAGTTAAAAGTTTTAGGTGAACTGACTTGTTTTCTGCAGTTAAGCTAAAAGTGGTCCATATTAAGCTTTGAGCCAGAAAAGAGTGAGAACTCTTTACTGTACGCTAGCAGTAGTGGCTGTCCCATTCCGAGTCTTTATTCAGTACAAAACTGACGTGCAGATTTTCATCCCGTCCCAATGGCTAAGTAACACGGAAACATGGAAAATTTGTATGTTTTTCATCTCTCCGATGCATCTTGATCACTCAGTCCACAGACAATAAATAAGACATGTTTGACTGTACTTAAAAAAGAAGACAAACCTGTTGACAGGCAGGTGCTGTTTGAGCAAATGTGTCAGCAACTTTTCTGTTCTTTTCCAAGTACAGGAAAAATATGGTAATCAGCAATATATTGCACATAAGGCAAATAAAGACTAGGTTCAAATTCATTGAAATATTCCTTTAAACTGTGCTGCTTTGAAAAAAAAAGGAATGCACTGAATGTACTTGTTTCAAATGTGCACATTATGTCCACATTAAAAAAATAGATCAATGCAGTTATTGGCAAATGCAAATATACAGGGTGATTCAAAAAGATTAATCCGATTTCAAAATGATTTATTTCACTTGTATATCATTACAGAACAATGCAGTAAACTGTAAATGGTTTAAGTGAGCGTGAAGTTTGTGTAATTTCAAACAACTCTGTATGAACCTCCTCCAGCTGTACGGACAACATTAACACCATAGTCAAATTCATCCCATACTCGATTGAGCATGTCGGGTGTCACTGTACTCCCAGCTCTTTCAGTGCGATTTCGGAGATCATCCAGTGTTGTGGAACCAATGACGAACGCTCTGAGCTGTTGGAAGTTCACTGCCAAAAATCACGTTGCACAGTTATGACGGATTCACACTTATTGAAGTGGAGAACGCAAAACGCTTTCTGCTCAGGGGTCTCATCTCCTCACAGACTGAAGGGAGCCATCTTCCGGTGACAGTCAGAAACTCTATGACCTCCTCTTTCACTTGGTATGTGATTGGTTCCTAGGCGCCTCACAGTTGTAAAAATGTGGCGCTTTCAAAGCGGATGAATCTTTTTCAGTCACCCTGTATAATGTAGTGCTGATGTTAATGTGGAAATTCTGTACATTTCTTTTTTTCAGTGTGGTAACGAGTATTACCGTTTTCCATGTGGTTAAGATATGCTTTATCAAAAAAATTGGCTGGGACACTAAATGATCATCTTTTAAATGAATGCATTATATATCACACAGAAATTCTGTTTTGTCTGATTTGTGTGTCTCTGTTTTAACATTTGACCAAAACTTCAGCAACAAATCTTTTTATTGTGTAATTGAATTCCAGTGACATTAGTCTTTCTGGAGGTTAAAAAAAACATTTGTTCTGCACTGCATTCATGATGACTGATTTTTAAAAATGTAGGCTGTATGTTGAAATTCTGAACTTCTTTTCTACTCACGCCATCCCTTTTATTGTACAGTTTTCATATTGGCTGATGAGGAGAAACTGTAAATATATGATGAAATACCACTAATATGAAGCACATGTAAATAAATCTGAAAATGTGCCTTTTGTGTTTAGCCTGTCCTTTATTTTGAATTGGACACAAACAATACATGGAACATGTTTTTACTCTGTCTCCATCTTTCTAATCTGTGCAGTGACAGTGTTGTTGCTGCACTTGGTACATGGAAAAAAAAGAACCTACAAAAGTGTTTTTGGTATAAAGTTTTTTTAAGAATTAAGAATCTGTGAAGAAAGCAGAGTCAATTGTTCACAGTGGTGGGGATGCGAACCGGCGTCTGAAGCGTTTAGTGTCTCTAAAAACAATCTCGTAAATTTTATTACATGGGATGATCACAAATATGCAGCAAAGCTTGTGTTTGATATTTTTGCAAAAAGGTTTTGGCCTTGTATTTTAAAACCTACAGAGCCCTGCTGGTGACATCCTGTATAAATAAAAACAATGCGTGGCCCAAGTGAGTAAGGAATGGGAACACGAAAATTAAGTCCTGGCCACCACTTCATAAGGTGTGGGAACGAGATCCTAATGCCACGACTTAGCAAGGCATGATCTCATTCCCACGCCTTGCGGTTTAACACTATTTCACCGTTATCAACGTAACAAACTCAGAAGACACATGCCGGTTTTGGTCGTTCTGGCCGAGGAATAAATTGTCTGTATTTGCACTGTTGACATCACGACCCCTAGTACGTACCACCACCAAGACTGTAAAGAAATCCGGTTTGGTACGTTTCTCACAGTGTACCATTTCACATCACACCGCTATGAATGACCGTTTGTATCTCAGCGATAGATGTATGAAGAAATTTTGAAAATATCGGTGGAACTCCCCTTTTATGTAGCGCTCTAGTTTGAGCGGCGTATATTTACTCCGGACCACTAGAGGGCGCGTTAGCGGCATGTGTCAGTGTGTTGTACGTAGCCTTGTCCGATAAAACACGTGTGTCTGCAAGATTCGTGGTGAAGTGAATGGAAGTGAAAAACTTCACAGTTATTAAAAAATTTGGATTTTTTTGACATTGAGTGAGAATCGATACGCAAAATGGGGGCGGTAAGTAGCGTTACTGTCGTTTTCATAAACGAGTTTATGAGTTTGTCTTGTTAGCTCGCGCCCGGCTAGCTGGCTAACTGTTCACCGCGAGCACAGGTTTTAAAAATCAACACACCTCTCTTTGACGGGATATAGTCAGGATTTGATAGTCATTAAGTTGTATAGAGCAGTGCTCAGTCTAACATGAGGATTTTTCAGCTTTTGGCGGAAAGCCTGCTGAAGGGTTTGTTTACTCCATTTGTGCCGCGGTGTAACTGTTAAATACATTCCTGTCACAAATGCTCCACATATGGTTCAGGAAATACGACCTGACATGTACAAACACTAACAAAACAAAACACAATCGGCGCAATGCGTCGTTTTTTATTATAATTGGTTTCTGTCTTTGTTTAATTCGTCTAAATGTGTTTCACGATCAGGCTTCGAAGAAGCACAGAAAGAAGAAGCCAAGCTTCCGCAAGCTGCTAAAAACAAGCAATGTGAAGCTTGAAAACAAGCTGAAGAATCGCCAGTTCAAGCAGCAAAGCACCGCAAAGAAACAGCGCAAGGAGCAGAGAAAGCTCCGTCAGGCCATCAGCGATGTGTCCCACCAGACCCTCAAACCTCTGGAGCGCTACAAGAAGAAACCAGGTGAGGAGAAGCTATTTTAGCTTCCAGTGTCTTTTGCATTATTTCCTTCAACATCATTCTGATGTAGCAAAGCAGTCTCATGAACATTTTTGCGTCTTGTTGGTTGTGTGATTCGCAGAGGAGGAGGAGGAGGACGAGGAGGAGTTTCTGGAGTCACTACCGACAGACATGATGGATGAGGATGACCTGGAGCAGATCAGAGCGATGGCTCAGAAAGCTTCCTTTATCACAAGAGACCTCTCCTCCTGGTAGGGCAGTCCGATATTTGATTGTACTTGGTATTGAGAAGATTACATACAGTGGTGGACAGTAACGAAGTAAATGTAATTCGTTACTGTACTTAGTTTTTTTTTGTGTATCTGTACTTTACTGAAGTGTTTCCATTTTGGGCGACTTTTTACTTTCACTCCACTACATTTCAAAGTCTAATATCTTACTTTTTACTCCACTACATTATGCGAAATCTGTCGTTCCTTTTAGCTTATGTGTGTATAAAAACGTAACATGTCGAAACGAAAGAAGCGTGAAGCAAACGCAGCAATCAGAACACAGCGCACTTTGTTTTGAGCTTGTTTTGACCTGTTGGTCATACCGACCCAGTGCAAGCATACGGTTCAACATCAGTGCAGCAGCGTAAAATTTTGGGAGTGTCTATTCAACATATATGATGGAAGAAACTCCTGACTCTAACCTAACTTTGTGTAAATAGAGCACAATATAGAAATATGTACACATGCAGCTGTGACTGACGCGTCTTTTTCACTTTCATTTTATAGTTGTTGTTTTTGCTAGTTTATGTTTATGAACAGAGACCTACAGATGCAGTATAGTAAAGGAAATAGTAGGTAATAATGGTAATAGGACATGAGAGCCATTATTAATCCTTTAGTACTTCGTCCACCACTGATTACATAGCAGTGTTCGTTTGCTCATCAGATATTATGTCAGGTTCTGCGTAACGATGGGCAGTTTAAGAATTTGTGTATGCGTACATCTGTATATCCATAAACAGTGTCAGTGTTCATTTGGGCTCCATAGTATCATGACTTCACAGACCCCTACTCTGTGCACCGACTTGTGCTTGTTATCCTTTGTCGTTCCATCATGGAAGAAGACATTTCTGACTTTTTAGAGTCACGACAGGTGGCACAAGAACAAACAAAGCAACGTAAGATATAAGGCAAGTATTTTTGTTCAGACAGTTATAAAAATCTTTGACCCTTTCAAAGTGATATAACTACAAGTAGGCTGCCTTTGCTAGCTAGATACAGTTAGCTAGCTAACTTGGTGAAAGTTGCCTAAATGTGAGTGCCCAAAAAAGAAAGATCCTGCTTTATTCACTTCTCATAGTTATCATGCTAGCTAACGTTAGCTCTGGGCTGAACATTCCCCAATAAAAGTTAAAATAATAATTAGCTACTCAGCAAGGTAAGTTAGTAAATCGCTAATTTAAAACTCTGTGTTTACATTACAACACATTCATAGCTGCCTTTTAGTTTAGGCTCCTTAGCTACCAAAGTTCCCACAGTTTGCTATCTGTAGCATTTTTCTTACTAGTTTGTTAGCTAGCTGGCTGTTTAGCCAAGAACGCTGTCTACATGCTCATCTGCTTAAACTACATGACTAGTTAACTTGCCCGGACGTGGCCTTTTTGCACTAATACCATACACACCTGCGACAAAAATGAGCAAACAGGGAAAATGTCTTCAACTTCAAGTGAAAAAAATAGCTTTTGCTCATTGCAAAACAGATAAATGATTCCACTGGGTGGTTTATTTACGTTTTGGAGAAGTAAAAGAACATTTTTGGCACCTCATTTAGCAGCTGGAGCTGTTTTCACATAACTTATAGCTAATTATATCTAGCAAAGGCAGCCTACATTTAGCTGCATCTCTTTGAAAGGGGCAGTTTGGTAAATTAAGCTTTTTTTTAATCTGTCTTAACAAATAATCTTACCTTATCTTGTGCCACCTGTTTCCAGTGAGCACTGATACTGTTTATGGATATAGGCTACACAGACACACGAAAACAAAACATGCTAAGATGAGTTGTATAACTACACGTATCACAAACTCTCCGTGTGATTTAAACTTTACCAGCCTGTAAAGCCAAAACAACAGAACTACAATAGTTTGTTAACTTCAACCCCCCCCCTTTCGTTTTGTGTCTCAGTGCTCCTGTTCACTCCAAGAAACGCAAGTCAGACCAGCCAGTGGAAAAGTATGAGAAGATGCCTAGAAAGATGAAGCAAGAGGAGGAGAAGGAGCTTATTCATTTACTGCCAATAAAAGACAAGAGCGGCCTTATCCCTCAGACCATGGAGAAGCCAGGTGTGTCTGTGGCGTGTTTGGGTATTGGCTCAGTGTGTCGTTGTGGGTTCATGTTGTAACTGTGTTTTCATTTTGGTTTCTAGTGGTACAGAAAGCAGATGAGGAGAAAGAAGAGGAAGATGTGAAGGACCAAGATGAGTCAGGAGAAGGTGGGTGTTCCTGCTAGCGTTCGGTAGGGTTTCAGTTAGGTATCTGTTCGAAAATGTGTTTCAATATAAAGGCAGGCGCACACTCTGAAAGCATTGCTGTGATTCTGTTGCAGACAGTCGCAAATCTGGCTAAAAACCTGTAATGTCGAAAGAATTCTTTGGTCATAAGCTAAATTTGGAGATCTTAAAACG